GATTGGCCAGCCTCTTTTTCTTTTTCATTCATACAATGGTCCCGAAAGTGTGTGAGGACAAGGGCAAGCATAGGCACTCCTTGCAAAATGTATTCTTTGCAGTTTTCAAACACAGAATGGTTTTTGGGAAACCGCCACCCACTAGTCGCAAAGAGTTCTCAGAGCTGGGAAGGGGAGGAAAGAAGTGGAAATGCTCCTCGAAGGGCAGGATTCTTCCACCTTCCACCAGCGAGGAAATGCTTATGGGTACCGTGAACATGTTCTTGTTGTTGGAGATTTTTCATTACGTTTGTTGTTAACCCTGAACGAAATGTAAGAGAAATGCCACCGTCTGTAAGTGAATGACTGAACTGTAAAGAAGATTCCATTTGGACAGGAAAATGGAATCCATAAATGCCAGACCACTTCGTTAAGACCACCATGAGGGACTTCTGTTCTCCAGAAAAGACTCTTTAAAAATACATTTGGAATAAAAGCTAAGGAGAGGGGAAGCAAGCTCAGGAGGAGGGGTGAGAGGGTCGAATAGAAAGGGAATAGTGTGTTAAGGAAGCCAACTGGAACCAATGCCTCGTGTGTGAGTTGCAAGTGGAAAACTAAACAATATTTTATTTTTCATGCACCGGACATTAGCCATTGGTGCCATTAGAATCTGTTTTGGGGGTTGGGGACATAGTTTCCTTTTCCATCTACTGAACTTCAAGTAATCAGTGTAGGAAAACAGAGGAGAAAAATGCAATTTTTTTCTACGCTGTTCTTTTTAACTTTAGAGAGAAGTTAATTCAACTACTCAGAATGTGGACTCTTGCAGGGATTTTTGAGATCATCCCAATATACTCTGGTTGATTGGATTTCCTGGTGCCAGGTACGTTTAGTGGCAAAGTAAATATTTCCCAAGCACTGACTTCATGGAAGTCATCAGATTGCTTCCACTGTGCAATGTGTAAAGTTTTTACTCTGGCCAAGAGCTTGAAGCCAAATGGGGGTGTGCCAGATGAAAAGAGAAGGAAACAACTGTGGTGATTGCTGTTACAACAATGAACACTTCACCACATCTGGGCTAGCGAAATGAAGAAAACTGAAACCCCCTCTATTATTCACCAAGACAATTATGTGTCTCTTCAAGAAAACCTTGCTATTGTGTTATTGGTTAAAAGCATGCCACACCTTAGAAACATGTCAGCTTCAAGAAGCATAGACACCTCTTAGCCAGTTTTTGTAGTTAAAAAAAAAAAAAAAAAAAAAGTACCTGCAGAAGTTACTGCTTTTAGAGTACCTACTTTTTTTATTTGGAGGATTTTTATCTTTAGGCCTCTTGCACAATCCAGGTTAAAATTCATGTTTAATCCTGATATCAATTTCAATCCTGATGTGTGGGTTGTGTCCACTATTATAAACTATGACAAGGAAACTGCCCTTAAACAATTACTTGGTCAAATGGCTGATTAAGTATTGCTTCTCTAAAATCGTATGCCTAGTGTAGGTATTGGGGAAGCCCTCAAATACCACCATCAGGCATTTTGAAATTCAGCTATTCCCGTATGCGCTCCAGACACAGAACAGTCTGGAGAACTCTCGCTCTAAAGAACAAAGGACAAATACAGTCAATACATTCCATAACGTTTACATTTCCTTTGCTTTTCCCCCTTGGTTTTCCCTGAGAAGGAGTGACCTGGGCAAAGCACCCTGCTCTCTAAAAGGCACTGTATAGACCTTTTAGAAGCGCAAAGTCCAAGGCCGAGGTGAACTTCAGGTCAGCGCGTCTAACAAATATGAAAATGTCGGCTGGTGAAGGGCGCGCCTTGTGATTTAACAAAGACTGTCAATGTGTAAGATTAATAAGAAACAAAATGCACACGGTGTCACTGTTCGGTCACTTTGAAACTTGGGACAGGGTTGCATTCAAGAGGGAAGGCTGTTCCAAATATATTCAAAATGATTCAAATCAGATTCAAACTAGGCTGCAAACGCTGCCTCCCTTTCGCCCTCCCTCTGCCTTAGACTCCCTTCGCTCTCCTCTTCCATCTGGGATTCGAGGACATGACGAAAAGTTATTTCATTTAATGGGATTTTAAGAAAGCTTTTGTTGGGAATATATGTTATCTCTGCACGTGGAAATGAGCAAATGTGCTCACCAGTTTCCCAAGAAAAGGATAACGCTTTCACCCTGCTAGGGACTGGAGCCAGTTGGTGTGAGAAGATTAGCATGCTCTCTCTCTGCTTGATTTCAGGGCATCCCATCTTTTCTCTGGCGAGATGCTGCTGGTAAACTTCAGTTTATTTATTAATTGAGTTAGACTCTTCCTGGCTTTACTCTGGTGTGTTGGATCTTGTGTAAAGGCAAGACGTTTTTGTGTGTGTGCTTTTTAAAGTGTTTTTCAAAAGATTATTTGATTCAATGGAACGATGCTATGGCTTGCAAAGAGAGATTGTGGAAGGATCAGAAAAGGTACTGAGATTGTTTATTACAGCCATAAATCTTGCAGTAAAATGTCAAAATGTCGGTGTGTGAGATAACACTTGGTGGTCCTGGCTCCGTTTGTGTTTATGATAGGAACCACAAAGACAAGTTACAGGCCTTGGGGGATTCTGTGTAAGCCCATCTTCCTCAAGTAATAGAACCACATAAAACACAGGCACAGTTAACCCGTTTAGGTTAACCATATACAAAACAGTGCCTGTGCCTCATTAATACTTTAAAATAGAAACTCGGTAGAAGGTTCTGAGGCTAAACAACATGAATTTTGTGTTTTAGTGTCTGTAAATAATACTAAACAGACATAGTTAAGACCCTAGTACTCAAGGCTGACGACATAAGGACGAAGGCAAATTTTCCTTGTCATTTTTTCCCCCTGAAGCTTAGAAAGCCATGTTCTGCAAACTATATCATATATGTATATACTGTGCATATAAAATAGTATATATGTCTATATTATTTTTTCTTGCTTTTGAGAAATACAGATTTAGGCAGCTGTATCACAGGCTAGATTTCCCCCCAACTCTAGAGAGGATGTCTAAAGATTGATTTCTGTCTATGGCTCAGATTTCATTTCAGAAAATTTCAGGGTGCCCCATGTCGATGGACAGCACTCTTCAGAGACACACATCCAATGTGGGAAACCTCTTTGTACCGCTTCAGGGTGATTCCAGTTGGAAAGCTAACATGATCCCTTTTTTAACCTCTTTTCCTAAATTAGTTTAAAGATTAGTCCCATATAATAGGCTTTATGTGGCTAAGCATTAAATGACTATCCATCAAATGGATATATTCCAGCATTTAGTAACTCATATGAGTAACCGATATAAATGAAGATAGAATTGACATTCCTTTTGAAGTATCTCCAGGCTTAGGCTATAACTTTCCTTGTCTGCGGTTGAGACTCAGTTGTGAGAAGGCTGTTTATCCTGCTCTCTGAAAAACCAACTAAGGTGCGCCAGCTGAAAAATCCTTGCTTTGCATGCCAATATGAAAGTATTTTTAGAATGGTGACTATGCTACTTTGCACTGCTTTAATCTGGGCTGAAAAGTAGAGGAGCCAGGTGTGTCTGTCACTCAGGAAAAGAAAGGGAAAGTACACACGACGAGTTAAGGCATCAGTATTTACTTCAAAGATCAACATTAGGTGGAATTAATAAGTAATTTATTTCTTAATAATGGCGTAATTAGTTTACCCATCAGATTTCAATTACCAAATGGCAGGCAACAGTCCTCTCCACCCCCCCCCCACTTTCCAGAGCTACTGATATCGTTAATATGCTAATTTTCAGCAATTCAGAAATTATAGACTGTCCTGTAGGTGTAACTTTAGCCTCAGATACAGCCTTAGAAAGCAGCGTCCAAAAGACAAAATCTAAAATTCTTAGCGGGGGAAAAGACCCGTCAGCGATCAGACAGGGCACGGTACCTATTCTGTCCCTAGCTTGTTTTTGTTTGGGGATTGTTCTGAAATAGGAAGTTGCTGGTTTCGAAGCTCGATTTTGTGGCGGCGTCGCTATCTATTCCCACCCTTTGGCTATCTTCTCTCTCACGGCCGCACCTACTAAAAGCAAGCATGTTTAAGTCTCATACCGACACCTCCATCAAAATGAGATGCTATCAGAAAGGTTTTGATTTTTCTTAGCTAAAAATTCAAGCAGATTCTGTCTCTAAAAGGAAGGAAAAATGAAAAATGCCCACCCGGTTACATTGCAATGGCCTTGCTCCTCTGGCCGATTTCTCCCAGCTGTTCACCCACCCACCCTTTGCGGCTCCTGCCGGGCTTCTCAAAGCAGGGGATCTCGGGCGGACTCGGCGAGCACGTTGTGGGGAAGGGGATCAGCTGGTGAAAATATGGATCTGTTGGCCTTATTCGTTTTAATCCGGGGCCACGGTTAAAATCAGGATATCTCCTTGGTCCTCACGCCATTCCTTCCCTCCGCCGGCCTCGAACCCTAGAAGACGCCAGGACAGGCTAGGCTGGGCCCGAGGTCAGCGATGGGCCGCGGCCACTCGGCTGCCCCGAGGCCTAGACCAGGAGTAGGGTACGAAAAGGGCCCGACTCGGGCGTCCGAGAGGACCAGAAGCCCTGGCAGGGCCCGAATTGCCAGCAGGACCCAAAGTTGGGGGGCTGGGGGTGACCAAAGCTCCAGCTCCCTCCCTCCGCCCGGGGCCGGACAGCAGCATCCATCACTCGCCTGCGCGCTTCCTGATCCGGGTCCGCGCGCGCGGCGCGCCCATTGGCGGGGGCGAGTCACGTGGGGGTACTAGGCGGGGGTGGCCGTGAGATGAAGGCAGGCCATGGGCGTCTGTATGGGAGGGGGGGGAGAGCCAGCCTGAACTTTGGTGGCGCTGGATGTGGCGGCAGGAGGGGAGGAGGAGGGAGGGGTGGGAGGCTTGACAATGAGGGAGGGGAAGGAGCTGAGGAAGGGGGGATGGGAAGCCAGGCAGGAGGAGGGGCCTCATGACCAGAAAAACATGTAACTGAAAATTAGTATTTTTGCCTCCTAGAGTCAAATTAATGACCATGAGCCTGGTTTTTGATGAACCCAACTACATCGAGCCCAAGTTCCCTCCCTTGCTTGAGGTGAGGAGTCACAGCACAGCTGCCCTGGCCAGGCGGCGGGAGACGGCGAAGCCAGGCTGGGGGCCCAGCTACCAGCAGCCCCCAGCCAATAGCCCAGCACCTGCCTGCCAGCCCCAGGCTCCCACTGGGCAATTAGCCTGAACCCCCATCACCTCTCTCACACCCATTTGATGACCACGGTCAGCTCATGAACCCTCCTACCTCAGCTGCCGGCTTACCCAGCCATGATTGTGTCAGCCAAGCCGCCACCCTATGGCTACCAGTCAAGGGAGGCAGCCAGCCTGGAGCAGCAGTCAGCTGACAGCAGCCCCAGGCTGAGCTTAAGGTCCTCATGCGACCTGCCTGCAGTCGCGATCCTGCCGCCCCAGGCTGACAGCCGCTCATGGCAGCTCCTCACACCTCCCCAGCACCCGCTGGCAGCCTCCACCCCAGCGTTGCTGGCTGACTCCGCCACCCCAGTGATGTCTCCGGCAGGGCAGCCTGGCAGTCTGCCCACTGCCTGACAGAGCAAAGGCCACGCTGTTCTGGTCATGAAACCAAGGAGCCATTGGCCTGGTGTCAGGTGCCCTGGATGAAGAAGATCCATGTCAGCGCCGGTATGTGGCGCCGCCGGGGAGGCGCGGGAGGGTGGGCTGGGGCCGGGGGGGTTCGGGGGTCGCGGTGAGGGTCAGGGGGAGAGGCCGAGGGAAAGGGGGCCTCTGGAGGGGAGCCCCCATCTGGCCCAAGCTACAGTGGGATGTGGGTGTGTGCGCGCCAGCCAGCCGCCTGATCCTAACGTGAGAACCCTTTTGTACCCGGGGTCCCTTTATCGAGAGATTTACGAGACGCCAAACTGTTAGGGCAGTAATTATAGCCCCCATAAATTTAATTGCCCTGGCAGAGGCTTCAGGCCATGTGTCTTTGAAGCTTTTCTTCAGCCCCAATGCCCAGCACCATTCTTTATGGCTCTCGGGTGTTTCCCGTTGTCAATAGCCTGTGAAACATTTTCTTTGCCGTTTTATGTATCTTGCGTGAACTTGGTGTCAGGTTATTATATAATGATGATGTCCAATTGCTCTTCCCCACCCCACCTTCTCTCTCCTCCTCCTTTCCCTCTCTTCCACTCCCTCCTCCTTGGCATTCTCCTTCGGGGTTATGGGCTTTCAGTCAACCCCAGTTATAACGGAGGGGAGCCCAAGCGCTCTCGAACCGCATACACCCGACAGCAGGTCTTGGAGCTGGAGAAGGAGTTCCACTTTAACCGCTACCTGACCCGGCGGCGCCGCATCGAGATCGCCCACACGCTCTGCTTGTCCGAGCGCCAGGTCAAGATCTGGTTTCAGAACCGGAGGATGAAGTGGAAGAAAGATCACAAATTGCCCAACACTAAGATGCGATCCTCCAACTCGGCCTCGGCCTCAGCAGGCCCGCCAGGGAAAGCACAAACTCAGAGCCCGCACCTGCATCCTCACCCCCACCAGGGCGCCTCAACACCCATTCCCTCCTCCATATAACCTTCAGAGATCTAGACCAGTTTCATCCCCCCACCTGTTTTTCTGCTCTCTTCTGCCCCTTTCCCCATACTCCTACCTGTCTGGACTATAACAGACCCCAAAACAAAACCCAGCTTGGCGAAAAGGATAATGAAAAAGAAGACATTCTCCCCCAAAGAGAGTGTGCTGGTTGCCAACTAAGAGCAGACAATAGCCAGGATGCTGGCTGGCCTGAATAAGGCCGCCAGGATTGGGTACCTGAGGAGGACCACTTGGCAACCAATACTTTTGAGATGGCTAAAGTCAGCTGGATAGCCCACAGCTGACTGGGGACATATACATGTATGTTTGTTGCAAGCAGAAGGAAACAGATCCTTTCCCCCACCTTCCCTACCTCCCCCTTCCACATTAAGGCAGCTCATACAAGCTTGTATTGAACTGAATAAACGAGTAGACATTGTGGACCTCACAAGATTATTTAATTCTCAAAATGTATAGACCTTGATGGTAGATGTGACACATGTTAGTTTCCTTTCCTTGCATTTATTTAAAATATTGTTGTAGAGATATTGTTGTCTTATTCTGAGGCACAATCTCGGGGGAGAGGGGAGTGCATTTCGACCCATGTGCAACTGTACAAATTGTGGTGTGGCTATATAAAAAGCCATGTGCTAAGAATAAACTCTGTTTTAAAAACCATTAAAAGTTCTAAGACACATTTGTATGTTTCCTACTTTTAATTAAAAAAAAAAAAGGTTCTCTGGATGGAGATGTCTGCCCTTGTGTGTAAAAATCTTGTAGATGGCTCAAGTTATGTTCACTTGGATTCTGACTGCTCACATAATTTGTGTGAGTGTATTCAAGTTGAGCTGAACTCTTGTCAAGTTTGACCCACAGTGGGAAAAGTTCCAAAGAGCAGGAAGGCTCTTGAGCTCTGAGAGGGCTCCTCTTCTTCCCAAACTTGGCCAGGCTTTCAGGCTTCAAGTCTCTGTAAGGCATAGAAACGTGTCCTTCCCTGCAATGAAAGGTGAAACCACGCAGTGCTTCGGGCCCAGGAGTTTCTGCAGCTGTTCTACAGGCTGAACTCTGAGCACACTTGGAAAGAAGTGGTCCCTTTGGTATTTATTGCACCTTCACACTTAATCTGCCTGTTTCCCTGGAGATAGAAAAAAATAGTTTATGCAAAGAATTGAGATTGCTTTTTTGTTTCTTGGCTGTCTTTAAGGTTCACTTCACTACAGCTTCGGGGTTTTTGTCTTTCTTTCTTTACCTCTTTCCTTCTGAAGCCAGAGCTTTCGAAATAAACTGAATTTTCCTAATAAACCCTCCAAAGTTTCTTCTGAGGGAACAAAAAGCATAATGCCACCCTCAAAATATACCCCAAGCAAGGCAGACCTGGGAGTATTCAGTGCTGGAAGAAAGCTCAACTCTGAGCGAGGGGCACTTTTCTTAAATGCTCCTGGATCTTTCTGCCCAACCTAAAGATCTAGATTCAAAGGCTGAAAATCAAAACCCAGGGCTGTCTCTATAACCATAGTGTTTATGTGCTGATTTACAAATCAGTAAAGAGGATTTAGACTTGGTTGTCACTGAAGGAGTATTCTACAACAAGATGCAGAAAACCAACACATGCCACCCCTAGAATGTAACTGTCACCTGGCCTTATATGAGTGCAGTGTTAGGTTCGCGTTATAATTTTAGCAGAGATGGGAGGGGGCGCTCACCTACCTTTGGACTATCAGAGGAATCTTAAGCACATTTTGCCGTCAATGGCAAACCCTTAGCCAGCGGGCAGTGCTGTTCCTCCTCATGCCGCTGCCGCCCTGTGTGTGATACAGGCAAGGGTGATCAGTTCTTTACCTATGAACAAACCATATCTGAGAGGAGAGTGATGGACACCGGTCTCTGAAGGGCCTCCACCTCTCCCCAAGAAAATTCAGGAGCAAACAAATGCATTCCTTCCCAAGTCAGGCCAGACCTGGCGTGAAGTACGTTTTATATGGTGTGAACGAGTGCCAGGGATTTCTGGGGACACTGCAACTGCTGCTGAAACTTATTAACCCTCCCCCTACTACACGCACTTGTAAAACGAAATTAAATCACGCTGAAAATAGCAATTTTCCCAGGAATCATTAATCACCTCATACAATAAATACTTCTTTGTAATTCAACAGCAATTCTGAAAGGCATTCTCTGGGAAAAGTCTGTGGAGAAGCGAGGGATCTTCTTGCAAATAATATGGTCTCGGGCAAAGACGCAGCATCTCGGCTGTCTGCTCAAAAAAATGCCTAGACTCTTGGTGGAAACTGAGTGTCAAGCTGCAAAACCTCAAATGGCAGATTATCATCATTTAAGGTAAATTCTTATGTTTCTCCTTTGTAGGGAAGGAGGGGTATAGAGGCATTCATTCCAGCTTCATACAGGAGGCAGTTGTGTGGGGATAAAGGGGATAACTTTCTTTCACTTACTCTTATAGTCTGTCCAGGAAAGGAAGAGAAAGGATGGACAGATTGTTTTTCTAATATACCAGGACAAAATGGCATTTTTGTCTAAGCTGTCTTAATTATTAAGGTATTGGTAAGTGTTACAAAGCCAAAATGATCCAAAATGACCCAAAGGATTGTGTCGTTTCTTTAGTGTTTTTCCTGTTTTAGATTTGGTCTTTAAGGGAGCTTGTTATAACAGCTTAGAAAAATCCCACTTTGTGCTTTAAAATCATGCATTGTCTTCCCTTTGCTAGGGCAACCATAAGAGTTCACCCAGAGGACAAATTTTCTATCTCATTAATTGTTTTTTTTTTTTTTACGCGAACCCTAGTGGCCCCTCAAACCCTTGACCTTTAAAGACAGTATTTTGTGTAAGCTCTATAATTCTCCTACCAAAATGACCCTTACACATGCTGCCCTCTTCTTTTTCTCTTTCCCCCCTCCTTCCCTCTAACACACACTCTTTTGCTTTAGTCACAGAGCCAAGCTGTGCATGACTCTGGAGATAAAAGTTTTGTCAACATCTGAAATCAACTTAAATCGGATGGGAGACACTTTAATGGTCACAGTTTGAATTAAGTACTTAACACTCTCCCCCCTGAAGAAAAATGGCACTTTGCAGGCTCTCTTTCCTAGTTTTGCTGAAATCTACGATATACCCGGTGTTTTATTACAGCGGGAATTCAACTGTGACAGGCATAGTAGAGTACTTAATACCCAGGATGGGGCTCCTGGGAAGATTACCTAGATATATGGGGAGTGGGCCCTCTGCACAGAATCTCTGACTTTATACCCAGCTCTTCGAGGGTGCTCACATTCCGCACCCCCCCCCTCACCTCTCAGCTTCTTCCCCCGAGGGGTGGGTATCTCCATCTCTACTCTGTCCCCCTGATCTTCTAAGCTTCCAAACTGGGCTGCTCTTCTCACCACTGCCTTCTCTCCAGCAGTTGCAACATAGAAACTGATCCAGGACTCTTTAGCATGAAAGGGAAAAAAGACACCCAAAGAATCAGTGTAGCAAACAGAGAGTGGGGGGGGGGGGGCTTCCTGTCTGAATGGGTGGGTTCTGTGCAGGGAGTAGGCTGTTCTTTGCATTCCTTTGGCTTGCATCCCTAGCCTAGCCACAGCCCTGTATTGAAGAACATAGGCTCAGCCTTCCCAAGGGCTGTTCCTATTGCCCCTCTTCTATATTATACCCCAGGGGCCCAAGAAGAACTCTGCTTCCTCTATCAAAGGCTAAGGGCTAGGAAAAATAGGAGGAGGAAAGAATGTGGGTTCTCACTTCTTGTTGGAATCAGGGAGGGTGCTGGGGCTGTTGATGAAATATTCTAGTCTGAAACTTCTCTCTTGGAATTCTGGTATCACTTCTCAAGGCCCCACACTCATGGAGTAACTCCCGCCACCCACTCAGGCCAGCTCCCCTGTCTCTGGGCTTGATTTCTGGGGCTACAAGAGATCCTTGTTTCAAAGAATGTCCGAGGTGAAAGAGATTTGGAGGCCATTTTGGTTCAGTCTTCTCAGTTTACGGTAGAGGAAACTAAGGCAGTTGAATGTTCCCCCATGTTCCTGTTAATGAATGTGCAGGTTGAATAGAGCCTTTGGTCTCACCTTGGAGAGGGGTAAGTGCACAGGCATCTTTCCTCTGGGCAAGTCTATTCTGCCTGGAATGGACCTGCCTCTGGGCTTACACTTGACAAGGATGGCCACAGGTGTGCTGAGGTGTCCAGGGAGGTAGGGTGGGTTCTCTCCTGAAGCGCCATCAAAGTGGCCCCAGGAGATTAGGTCACCAAAGCGCCTTAGCCAGGGCACTTACACAGGTGGGCTGACCTTTGGTCCCAGGAGGGGACAGATGCCTGGGTGCCTGGGAGAGCGGTGGGCACCCCACTGTCCACAATGCTCATAGTTCCAGAATGACTAATTCTGTGCTGGCCCTGGGATTTCCATGGCAGTCGCTTGCCCTGGAGTTGAGCAAGGAGCAAGGAGTGTCTGCGTTCTGGAGGCCTGGGAACTAAAAAAGCCAAACAAGGACCGTCGTTGCAGCAGATAAAGGTGTAGCGCCAGTTCGAGGGAGATATTGAAATTGTAATCTTTTGAGGTCACGTGACTCATTAAATAATTAATGCGGATCGTCAGGAATGGATCGGAGTCGTCAGGGCCGCACTAGGAATGAATCTCTCACAAGTGAGACCCCAACTTCCTATTTGATTTTTAAAAACACACACCCTCAGATTTATCTCCAAAGGCTTTTAACTCCTTCAGGAGGTTTGAAGAGAGAGCCCTTCGGCGGGGAGGACCAGAGCTGGCGGGCCCACGCCGGGTCTGGGGGCTTTTTCTTCAGGGTTTCTGCAAGTCCGGGGAGCGCGCCGCGTCCGGGGAAACGTGAGTTTGGGCTGGGTTTTCTGCGGTCACATCCCGGCTTTAGTGATGAAGTGGGACGGATGCGCAGACAGTTGATAATGTTCTGATTCACACGGGGGAAGGCTGCCGAGATACCACAGGACCGGCGCGCGGCTTTGTTCAATTTTCCCGGTGTTC